TGGGGTCCTGCTGGCTTCACACTCCTCTGCTGAAGACCATGAACATCACTGAAGCTTCAGGCCAAAACTGATCTGCCAGGCTTAGCAGAGAGTGGGAAGAAGTGCAAAGGCCAGAAAGCTTACACTGTCCATGCAGCTGAATCTCAGTGTATTCTTACTTCAAGCAACTCCCTTGTTTCTTTTTTTTTTTTTTTTTTTTTTTTTTTTTTGGCCAAATTTATTCTGAGTAGTTATACCTTGCTACAAAAGTTTCTCATTTAGGAATTCTTCTTTTCTTAGAAAAACACTTCTTAAAATGCATTTTTGCCACCTCCTGTATTAAGGAAAGATTCTTAAACACTTTAAACAACTTTTTTTTTCTTTTTTCCCCAGTTGTTCTGTAGATTTCATGAGAAAGCAGTTTCTGTGGTGTTAGCTATTCTTGCAGGTATTGTTTTGGTGGGTTAATTCTGAAATTTTCTTTTTTGGCTCTTTAATTTACACTGCAACTTTTGGTAATGACAATGAAACAAAAGTAGCGCTAATGGGTATGTATTGCTATTTTCCCTTCATTGGGGGGAAACAAAAAAAAAGGAAGAAGAAGAAAAGACTATGGGAAATGATATACCCCCTGTGAGATAGATCAATACAGATGCAGATTAGCTCTTACTCTACTGAAGTTATTTTCCTTCCATAGCACCATATAGATTCTGCTGAAGGCTATCTATAACCATTCAAGTTCATGACAGTTATTCTTACACGATCTCTCATTTTTAAAACCATTGCCAAGATTCCTATCCTTTTCAAATGAGAATGAGGAGACAGTCTCTCTTTTATCAGGGTCAGATCAATTAAGCTTAAATAATCTTATTTTCTATAATTTTCATGTAGTTATTCAAAAGATTAGCGAGAAAATGTCACTGAACAGATACTTGTCTCCTCATTAACATTCATGTCAAAACTTTCCGGTAGGGCTGGTTTGGGCTGCTGATGGAGCAGTTCTTAAAAGAACTGGCTTATCTGTGAAACAGCTGCTCAGCAATGCTACCATGCAAGAGAATTGTTGATAATAAGATGATGCTATTATAACTACATTGGGAACATAATGTATATTAAGCTGCTTTGGGGTATGCAGTGGGTGCCTAGGAATTACAGCATGATTGCTTGCCTATTTCTAGGAACAGGAAACAGCTGATCATTTCATGTCTGCTCATTTGAATTAGTCCTACTCACAGACTACAGTTAGATGAAAAATCTGCTATCACTCCTCACTTTCTGTGTATTTCCTGTCTGTGAAAGTTTGTTTATTTGTTTTCCTAGAATTTGGAAGGGTTTGTATCTCCCATTGCTGAGATAATTGATCACTTATTATTTTACAGAAATTTTTATAATTCCAAGGCTTTCTTAGGAAAAATTACCAGGAGGAGATTCCCTTGATCCTCATTCATCCAACAGTGAAATTCCAGATATTGAATGTTTGTAAATGACTATGCCATATGACAATGCACTGGTAAGTATACAGACATGGGCAATAGAGATTAACCTTAGATACAGATCTGTAAACAACTGTAGATATGCCTCAGCCAAGAAAAAAGCAGCAGTGGAAATTATATTGTATAGTAATTTATATTAATTCACTTAGCATACAAAACAAATGAGAAATACTGCTGTCAGATCTTTGTCTACCGGATATCTCAAAACCACACAAAATACTAGGAATAAAACACAGAGAAAAAAATTGGATCTGGGGGAGTAGAGCAATTGAAAGTCCCACCACAGTAACATTCCCTTAGAAGTGTTTCTTGCAAATAAGTAAGAAGTAAATAAGATCATGCAGAGCTTTAGGCTGCAAAAACTAATTCCCATCTAAAATGAAAAGCACGTAACTGGTTCCAAAACATTTAATAGTTTCTAAAGTTCTCTGTAAATAATTTCATTTTTAGTTTTTCTTGTGTACTGTTATTCCAGATGTTAGTTATTAGAGATATTTTGAAAATACTGTACTTCAGGTAAAATGAAATTAAAAAGTACCTAGAAATGACATTTAGGACCTTCTACTCTACTCAGCAGTAGTAAGGTGATGCATGGAGTGCAGGGTACAGTTCCCAGTACAAGAGGGATGTGGATATCTAGGTGCAAGTCCAGCAGAAGTCCAGTAAGGTTATTACAGACTGGACTATCTCACATAAGAGGAAAGGCTGAAAACTGGACTGTGTAGTCTACAGAAAGGAAGATTTTATTAATGTGTGTAAATTGCTTGTAAGGGAGTAGAGGGAGATCAGAAGAGCCCAGCGACAGGACAAGAAAGAATGCACATGTAGTTAAAAACAGAATTAAAATATCAAGTTAATTAAAAAAATAAATTCACCTGGACACATATTTTCATTGTGAGGGTGACTAAACACTGGCACAGGTTGCCAGAGAGTTTGTGGAATCTATTCTTGGAGATATTCAAAATCCATGTGGGCATGTGGACATGGTTCTGGGCAATCTGCAGTGGCTGACCCTGAGGCACACTGATTAGACCACCACCAGAGATGGCTTCACATCTCAGCCGTACTGTGATTTTGTGTAAGATTATGTGACTGACCTGAGGCTAAAGAGACAATCTTTATACTACAGTAGAATGAATTTAATTGATGAAAAATAGAACATGAATAGTAATCAGGGGCAAAACCCTGAAAGAGAAAACAGACCTTATATAAGCTCTCACAAAGGAAATCAGAAAATCATCTAACCTGTACTTAAGTGTATGAATGAGAGACAGAAAATAAATGATAGAGGATCCAAACTACTGCAACATAAGAGAAGCAAGACACACAACGATCAGATCATAATTCAGCAAAGAGTTCATACACTGTTAGAAAGTCTTATGTTGTGAAAATTAGTATTATCATAAGACCTGCCTAGTACACTAGAATATCAAAAATCAACAAGAACTTCCACATCACTTTTAAGAGTTTACAAACCATCATAAACGTCTGCACAACACTTGTTCAGAATAACTCCTCCAGGGAATAATCACAATATGCTCCCTATCTCAGCATTTCTTATATGCTCATATATTCTGGTATTGCTTAAATTTGCTACTGTATTTGTTCTATTATTTGCAGTGTACTAGCATCAAAAGGCAGATTCATGCATCAAAACTTCCTTGTGCAATTGAACTACCGAATTAAAATCAAACAAAACAAAAAGAGATGATCTTGAAGAACTAAAATACAAAAGTTATCCTACAATCTAATATTTGCTTTACAGGAAAAAGTGTCATACCGTATTAAACTGAGAAATGTATAAGTGTTTTTTATACTGAAAGACAACCTATTAGATAATGCATTTTTCCACGAATGTGTTTGCCCCCTAGAATGATTAAATAGTTTTTCCATATAAGAGAACAACTTTTAAATAGTTTTATAACATCATTAAAATATAAAAAAAAAAACCTATAGAGAAAATTCAATTTAACTCTTTGATAATATTGAGACTGAATATTGCAAATTACCTTTAAAAATGTACAATAAGCCACAGTTTTTTAATCCAGTTAAGATAGAGCAGATCAATAAAAACCTCCCAAATACAACATTTTTAACAGGTCAACAGTTTTGATCTATGTACCCTACCATCAATAAAGACAACGGTTTCACAGTATTTCAAGTTACTGAAAAAGCTGTCATGTGTTTAAGTTCATTGCAAATCAAAAATGCCACATGTTGCCTAAAAATAAATAATATAATACTTAAACTCTACCATAAACAAGCCCAGCATTTTCATTAGACTGCACTGTTCACTAAACACCAGTGATCTTCTTGCTTTCCTTCTAGAAAACAAGGAAAGCTCTGCAAATGTTGCTGATATTTTCAAACATTTATTTTGTTTGCAGACTTCCTGATATAGTGCTCACAACCACTAGATTTTTTTGTGAAGTTCTTCAAGGACAACTACAATTTTTGAAAACTTAGGGCACAAAAGTTCAAGATTAACATTAAAAAATAGAGGGCATCACAGTGCAGGACACTGCACAGACATCCACATCCACACCAAGTCCGAAGTCCAAAGACTGGGGACATATTCTGAATTATATTAGCATTTGCTCTGGTGCGCTAGAACTTCCTCATGTTATATATTTCTCATTCCTTCCTTTTATAACTTTCTGTGTCATATTGAGGTAATCAATATTAGAAAAATTATTTTAAATTTTTAAAAAAATTATTCCGTTGATAAAAACATGACAATATTCTGAAGCTCTTTTGCTCTTTATTAATCTGCAGTTCATAAGAAAAGACCAATAAACTGTGACTTGCAAATATGGATACATCCACAAAAACAGCTCATTCTTTAAGACAGGTATTTAGTAAACCATGACAGACAAGAAACTCTTAAATTTAAAGAATCTTAAAAAGGCTGACAAAACTGATTAAAAATAAAGAAAGCCTGGAAACTCTCTTTATCAATTCCTTCCAGATAAAAAAAGAAAATATATATGTTTAATGCATCTGTAGTGGCTTGCATGAAAGTACCTCTCAAATGCAATCGAGGCATGACTGTTTAAAAGCCCCAGAAGTACTCTACAAGGCTATAAATATCAAAAGAAAGCCATGTAGGAAAACACTGCAGCCATAAACCTACAAAAAGTCAGAGTACTAAAAAACTGCTTTCCAATAAAAAAAAATAATGGGAGATCCACAGTACATCTTGCAACAGTGAACATAACTGCATCCCTAAATTTTGCATTTGAAATCAGGAGACAAAATTATAAACCTCCCTATGCATATCTAATCTTTTTTTCAACATTAGCCAAGCCTGCAGACACTTTACAGTCTGATCCTTGATGTTATTGTAATTAAAGGAAATACTCATAAGGCTAATAAGCATGCCAGCTGTAACTTAACCCTTATCTTAGCCAAACTGACAAATGCAAATGTGATACCTAATTGTAAAGAAAAGAACATTGGAATTCATTCTGGATCACCAAGATTTAAAATCCCATAACCTTGAAAATAAGTAAATTACATCCAGCCTACCATCAAACTTCTTGTGCCGGGAGACAAAAGTGGTGCGTACAAAGTGACTTGTCTCCTCCACCAAGTTTTCAAACTCCAGTTTGCTCTGCTGACTTAACTTGTCCTCCATTTCTGAGGTGCAGCATGTATATTCCTGAGGGCAGGTTCTCAAGTGTTCCCCTGGAATTGCAAGAAAAAAGGCATTAGAAATATTATAACACAGATCGAAATATATCAGAACCCAATATACATATCCCTTCACTTCAGGAATGTGGGCTACGTAAAGATATCTTTAAGGTTTGATAACTTCTTTGGGATCAATTTGTTCGTAATAAACAATTTTGCCATGTCTGGGCTCTTCCCACAGAGGTGGAGAGACACTTTGCAGAGCTGTTCTGATAATTCAGAAACAACTCACAATGCAAATGATTCTTGAACTGAAGTAGTCTTCTATGTACGCAAAAGTATACTTAAAAATCCTAAGACAATTTCTCGCTTTCTCTTTGTATTCAGAATGTCTGGAGAAATGCTTAATGAGATGACCTGTTACAAGACATCAGAGCTTTCTTTCTATCAAAACTTGAAAATCATAAATTACATATTTCTGTAGATAGGTTCTGCTTGTCCAAATGCACCAAAATATTCTCCCCCTTTCCCCTTCCTTCCCTTCTGTTTGAGTAACTGTATTTTAATTGTCTGGGTGTTTGGGTGCCACATATTTTCTTGGACAACCTTTCTTGTCGAACCTAGCAAATGCTCCACTGAATGAGGGAAAGCAATGAAGAGTTTAATTAATGCTTATGTTATACAGAAATGCTGTGTAAAAGGTAATGAAAGCTTCTTATTTAATTCAATAGATTTATCTCTTGAAGCACTGTGCCAGTTCTTCTGACAATATTGCTTTTTTCAGTACAATTTGCAAGTGGAAACCAATTCTTTAGCTCATGAAATTAAAATGGTCTGCTATTACATGAAATGTGAATTTCCAATTGACACTGTACTAGGGTGTCAGAAACATTTAGCTCAGTTTGTGTGAAGGTAAGAAATTCTACCATTCCCTCTTGAGAAATAAAAAGAATGATCTGCCCGTATGATTAAAGCTACTTGTAAAGCAATGAAAACATTTAGCTTTCTGTACACTGAATCCTGATTAAAAATCCCTCTGCAAATCTCATAGAGGTGCAAACAAAATGATATACAAAGCCCAGGGGTTAAATAAATATGGGGGACCTGATTCTCATTTATATCAAGCCTCCTTTGTATCACTGCTGAGCCATAAAGAAGATTTAAATGCAATTTATATCTACTTTAAGGCTACTGTTCACCATTGTTATTATGTAGCAAGGAGAATCAGGCCCTGAGGTTTATACTTCCCTGGGGTGCAATACATTTAGCTGCTGCGTCATTTTGAAAACAGCATCAAAAAGGGTTTGTACATGCTTAGAATAAACATTGTCTTGAGTTTGCTGTCATTTTATTTCAATTTTTACTTTAGTTTCCAAATTACGTCTTTTGATTTGAAGCTCAGTCATTCCTGAACCCTGACCCATTTAACCTGACTTAATTTTGTTTTTTGTAATAGTTTGTAAGATATGAACTATAATGCTAAGAGACTTCTAGCAGTCTTGAGACTTTAAAAAAATCTCACAGCTATACATCTTTGGGAAATAGAATTTCATTAACAGTTACTGGTCTGCAGTACTACTATAGGTCCCAGTCATGTACAAAAGAACCATTATATAAGAAAGATTCTCTGTGTCCATCAAAATAATGTAAAAATTATTTCCTGCAATGCTCTCCCAATGCAATAACATAATTCCTCTCCATTCCCTAGATTGTGCATCTAAGCCAGAAAAAAAATACATGAGCCAACTGCTGTCAAACATAAAAAATAGTGGCAAAAAAATGCTTGGTTTAGACTCTGTGCCACTATCACATTAAACAGAAATTATTCAACAGATAACAAACAACTGAGGAGACAGCATATGAAGACACAGTAAGTTTTTTGTGTTTTCTAACAACAGAGTTCTGAGTTTTTGTTAGACGTCAGAAGCACAAGGAAAGCTGAAATGTGGTATCTTTGGAAGCAGTGTTGTATGCTTGATTAAATAAAATGAACATACCCTTACCTATATGTCTGACTCTCCCCCTTCCTACATATACCCAGCAGCTTTTCTAGGGAAGCACTGGGAAAATATGTTCTTCCACTTACAGCCACAGTGGTAGTTCACACTTTCTGCAACGACAATGTCCTTCAGTGTTGTTGCAGTCATGAATTTTAATAAATTTCTGTTTTATTTCCTCTATTCATTTCCCATTAATTTTTTTTCTCTTCCATCTGGCTTTCTGTTTTCCAGAACTGCCAAACTCCAAAGGAACTAAGGTTCATTATTAAAGCACTATACTTGCTGAGTAACAGCTGTAGGTCTAGGTTTTTAAGAAGTTGTTCTGATTTCACCGGTGTAGAGCTCATTTCCTTCCTAGTACCTGGTGTGGTGCTGTGTTTTGGATTTAGGATGAGAATAATGTTGATCTCACAGCGAGGTTTTAGTTCTTGCTGAGCAGTGCTTACATACATACAGCCAAGGATGTTCCTGCTTCTCTTGGTATCCTGCCAGTGCAGTGCACAAGTAGCTGGGAAAGGAAAGTACCAGGGCAGTTGACCCAAACTGGCCAAAGGGGTATTCCATACCGTTTGGCGTCGTGCTGAAGAATAAAACTGGGAGAGCTGTCTAGAGGAGGGGACTGCTGCGTGAGGACCTCCTCTGCATTAGTCAGCAGGTGGTGAGCAATTGCACTGTTCACTACTTGTTTTGTATAGTCTTTCAATCATAATAATTATTATTTTACTTTTATGCCCTATTAAGCTGTCTTTGTCACAACCCACAAGTATTACCTTTTTTTCTCCTATATCATAGTAGGGCAGGGGCAAAATGGCTGTTTGGTGTTCAGCTTCCTACTGGGTTAAACTACAACAGGTGCTATGTTATGCTGAATATTATGACATACTAAAGTATATTGAATTCAGTAAAACAGTCAGTTTTGTACTACTATTAATTTCACTCTTGCTTTTTTAGTTGTGGTCTTAGTTTACTACAAAAACTACTTACCAATTTATTTTAAAATCCAACTTGCACACCATAAACTCATTCAGATTTCTGCTGTACTTATATGTTCTGCCTTTGCATGAATTTTTATGATATTTCTTTGTTTTATTTCAGTGGATATACATTCATTCATGAAGCTTTTAACTGCTGACACAAAAAAAAACTTCCAATTACATAAAGTGCTTGCAAATTCTACATCAACTCATTGCTTTCCTCTCCTAACAATGTGTCATCCTGAATCATCTACATTAACTACCTGTCTTCATCATAATTCACTAATTTATAATCATCTTATTGTTTAAAACATTTCTAGTTCTTCTGACTGAATTTTCTTGTAAAGAAAGAGTAACAAAAATTATTATGCCACTCTTTATATTCTGTTTCAAGATCACCTTTTTCCTCCTCCTATTTTCAGCACAAAAGTCTCAGGTCAGATTACAGATAAAGTAAACACAATTTCCTTTGCTCTGTGGCAACGGAATATATGTCCTCTGATCAGTCTGAGATGTTCAAGTGCCCTAAGCAAAGAAGTCTTTAGAATTTGAGGATCTCATTCTCGTACAGGTCATGAGTGGCTACAGGCTCCAAAGACTGACAATCTTGGGCCATTTCCTGAAAATGGTGGATGGAAACTCACTGACAAACTACCCTTTCTGTATGAGTAATCCTAATTTGCTTTTTAAAAGCAGTGATTATTATTTTGCCTTTATTCTTACTGAATATAGTAAGTTAGCAATAGGACAAGGAGTAATGGCCTAAAACTCGTACATGGGAAGTTCTGTAATAATATGCAGAAGAACTTTATGCTAAGGGTTATGGAACACTGAAACAGGCTGCTCAGAGAAGTTGTGGAGTCTCTTTCTATGGAGATATTCATGAGCTGTCTGGACACCTACCTGTGTGACCTGTTTTAGAGAATTTGCTTTAGCAGGGTGGATGATCCACATTTATTCAGAATAAGCAAGTACAAAGTCAGCAATTACCAGCAACCTACCACAACTCTTCTATCTACCATTTCCAACTAAAGATGGTGACCAACATATCTCTTTTTATGTCCTATGTTAATAAATCAAATCAATTTCCAAACTGAAATTCATCTTCTGGTATTCAGAAATTCAGTATTCAACTTCAGTTTTATTAACACTGTAATCTCACACCTGTCCTCACATGATCCCAACTGTCAAGATCTGCAGGCAAATTTGGTTTTTTGCTACTATGTTTCTTTGAAGTGTGATAAAATATTTAATAAAACATATTTTATATTAATACATATTGCAGTTTGCTGTCCCAACAGCATGTTATATAACCCACAATTCTTTCTGAGGCAATCGGTGTTTTATAGTTTCTATTCTAATCATACAGGAAAGGAAAAGAAAAGAGGAGAAAGGAGCATCTTACCATGTTGTTAGGATATTGTTTTGTGTACAAAATCATAGAATCCTCAGAGTTGGAAAGACCTCTTAAGGCCATCTAGTCCAACTCCCCTGCAATGAACAGGGACATTCACAGCTAGATCAGGTTGCCCAGGGCCTGATCAGCCTCATCTTGAAAGTCTCCAGGGATGGGATATCAACCACATCACTGGGCAACCTGTTCCAGTGCCTCACCATCCTCACTGTAATAGATTTTTTTCCTTGTATCCAATCTAAATCTACCCTCTTCTAGCTTGAAACCATTTCCCCTTGTTAAATCACCACACACTCTTCTAAAGAGTCTGTCCTCTTCTTTCATGTAGCTCCATTTTAGATACTGAAAGGCCACTATGAGGTCACCGTGGAGATTTTTTTTCTTCAGGCTAAAGAGCCTCAGCAATCTCAGCTTGTCTTCATATTTCCATTCTGTGGATCATTTTTGTGGCCCTTCTCTGGACATGCTCCAACAGATCTATGCCTCTCCTTTACTGAGGACCCTACATCTGGTTGCAGCATTCCAGGTGAGGCCTCACCAGTGCAGAGAAGAAAGGCAAGATCACCTCCCTCACCCCGTTGGCCATGCTTTCTTTGATGTAGCCCAAGATACAGTTGGCTTTCTGGGCTGCAAGGGCATATTGCTGACTCATGTCCACCTTGCCAT